ATCGATCTAGGAAGCCTTATGGTCAGTCTGCACCTTTTGCAAACCCTGATAAAAGATCTCGTACTATTTTTTATAAGATGAGTCAGTCTGATTCGAGGCCTGTATCTCCTCCACCTACTGTAGCTAGTCGAGAGGATTCTGCATATTCCACTCCGAAATCGAGTTGTGAGTTCTGTGGAAATCGACATGGGGGAGAGTGTCGTAAGAAGATGTGTACCTGTTTTCGTTGTTGATCCAGTAAGTACTTCTTGAGGAATTGTCCATATCCAGCTCCTGTCGATCAGACACCTGCTCAGACTCCTATGCATTCTTAGGCATCAGTTCAGACTCCAGATAGGAGTCATAGTCAGGGTAGGACTTTCATATCTATTTCTAGGGTCAACAATAGTGCCAGATTGCAGAGTAGATGACCAACTGCTTCTGAGGCTCGACAATTTACTCTTGTTTACGTTACCCGACGTTCTGGTGATCGATTTGAGCCCGAGACATCTTCAGGTATATTTATTGTTATTTCTGTTTTATGCCATGCATTTCTAACAACACTCTTTCTATACCCGAGTTTCGTATCATATTACCATAAGACTTTGGATTAAGGCATCGAGACATTGTTTCCGCTCCGAGTCTATCAAGATCTTCTGTTATTGTAAATAGAATAATTAGCCTTGTCCACTAAAGGATCTATCAGAGACCTAAACTCAGTTTCCTATTCGATTCTGATGAATTTCGAGGATGAAATTTCTTTTAGAGGGGAGAAATTGTCACAACTGAAAAAAATTATAATATAATCAATTTGATGAAATTTGAGGGCCAAATTAAAAGTTTTCAGAACTTGTAGACCATTTTTGAAAGTTGAAGGAAATTCAGGGACCTAGCCCTAAATTTGACCATTTTATGTCGACAGACAAAAAATAAATACGTAAATGTTTGGTTTCTGGTTACAAATCAGAAACAAAACCAAACATTTCCTCTTCCATCACCCCTCATTCCAAGGTCGATTTCGTCGTCGTCCGGCAGTTCCAATTCGCACCACCACTCCCGTTTTGTTCATCGTCGATCGATGAACAAAACCCCGTAAACCTCTCATCGTGAAACATCGTCTAACACTGTGAATTTTGATTCAAAGTTTCGAATTTTTTTAAACACCATCTCTGTTTTCGACACCTCCCGCACCATCGTGTTCCTTGTGTCGTTCTGAGTCCACCGGTGTTCTTGTCTCCGTCATCGCTGGCGCGTGAGGAGGTGAAGAAGTTAAACTTTCTGACGTTTTAAAATCAAGATCTTCACCGTTCAAAATTGTGAACCGAGCTTGATAAATGTCTCAAAATCCCTTAAAATAATTTTAGAAATTTTTGTAAAATTTTTCGGGACTCCCAGGACACCGCACACGCCCCCACGTGCTGCCCCTTCGTGTGGGGAATGTCCACCGTGTGGTAGACAATTTTCAAACCATTGACCGACCCGACTGCCTGACCCGACCCGTTGATCATTGTTGTTTGACCATTGATCGTAGACCATTGAATGACCGTTGATTTTGACAAAAAAGTCAAAATTTTTGAAAAGTCACATTTTATGTTTTTCAACGTTCTAAGTCTGATTCTGAAGTCCCTCTTGCCAAATTCAAACCCAAAAGCCTCCGAATTGACCCGTAAATCCAAAAAATGCATATTTATCTAAGTGTTTTAATTCAGTTAATTGAACTAAATGGTAAAGGACTAATTATTGTTATGATATATTAAAAAGGTACTCGGGGATCTCCTGACTGTTTCACTGCTCGACCCGGTTCCTCCCGATCCGCTCCGGTTCCTCCCGATCCGCTCGTCCACGAGATGTTGTGAATACTCGTATAGTTCTATAACCCTGTTAGTTATTCTGTTTAGAATATTATATTGAATATGACCCTGTTCTGATATGGCTTAGGTTCTCATTCATTCGAAGAGCCTAGTGAAGCTGGTGCTCGATAGATCTTCCGGACTGACCCTATTATCGAAGTGTGTTCCTTTTATGCAGTATAAATGTTTTAAATATCTGTTTGAAATATCATGTGCACATGATTGTTTTCTCTGATTTGAAATACAATATTTGATCTGATTTGACTACTGTATGATTTACCTGATTCCGAATTTACTGAAATGTAAAGCATGATTGTCCGACTTATGATTTCTGGATACTGGTTTACTGAACTGATGATCTGTCTGAACTCTGAATTATTGTTACTACTGGTTACCGTCTGAAAAATGTTTTCTTCGGGGTACTTTGGGTTCTGGTATGAAGACTCTGGCAGGTTCAGTCGCTGTTGGTAATTTGTCGGATAGGTTCAGCACCGAATGGTAATTCCTTATGGACCTAAGGCGACCCTTGGGTAGGCTCTGCGGCCTTGAGATTTTATTGGGTAAGACTTTGTGGCCCCGAGAATTGTCTTGGGTAGGCTTGAAGGCCCCAAGGTATTCCCTTAGGTTGTGCAGTTATGGGGAACTTCACATGGCGTTCGGTTGGTGGATGATTAGGAGTTTTTTAAATTAAAAACTCCTATGATGTTTTAATGACTGTGATCTATACTAGTTTTAAAAATCATAAATGTATGTTTTATTTTTGCATTGTTAGGACAAACTAAGCCTCTAGCTCACTTTTCAAACTGTTTTACCCCCTTTCAGATACTCTCGGATAAACACTCCGTATCAGGCATTTGGAGGATTGATACATTTAGTTCAAATCATTTTGTTGTAAAGTTCTATCTTTCGAACTGCTTTTAATTATGGTGACACGTGCCTTATTTTTTTGAAGTATTTATCGTTTTATGATGTTTACTGTTTTTACTATTGATATTTGATTTACGATGCTCCAGATTTATTTTATGTATTATTTTACTGGGTCGCTTTTAGTTTTATATTCAAGGATTGAGTTTTATCGTTATTTATTATACTTTTATAAATGTCAATTGTAATATGATTTATATTAACGAAAAACGTTTTTGGGAAATGTTTTTAAGAATCTTTAATGAATTTGCTAGACTTAGTCGAAACACATAGGCCGGATCTAGGGGTACAGTTTTTCTTTTAATTTCTGGAAACTTTTTTTTAATATTTAACTGCATTACAGAAAAAAAACAGAAAGCCAAAACAACTGCAAATGCAAGCTATCCTCCCTTCTCGATATAATGGTAAGCAAAAAGCATACTAAAACTTCTAGAAACACAACCACAATCACTAACCTCAGCAGTAAACTTTTTCACCATTCTCATAGAGGAATTGGTGAAGGTGATGCATCTCCGACACCGCTCTCAATCAAATTATTCATCCTTTTCGTCGGTGTAGTTTATCTGGGGGATTTCTCCTTTGCCTTCACGTTGAAAATCACATCAACGTCTTGAAAACAAAAGCTACAAAACAGAAGCTCCACTATTGTTGATCGGTTGAATAATCTAAAATTTAAATCAATTAAACCTTTTTAGAAGCTCGATTCTGAGGAGTTCCTTTTCCTTTCCATTTTCGTCCCCTCCTCTTTCCTTGACTGCAGGAGAAATCTCTATCTTCGCCGTCGTTATATTCATCGTCACCTTCGTTGGCCCTCCGGTTTACCTTAGGTTCAATTTCTGAATATATGCGCGGGAACGTCAAGGTTGTCTAGACCAATCTCCAGCGGACGCTGCCCCGCTCCCTCTGGTCGGCGCAATACCGTCATCACTACTTCCGGCCCTCTATTTTCGGCTGAACCGTCCATGTAATTAAGGTATTTTAATTCTTTTTTAAATGCATTTATAGTTTCGGACGTTAGAGAGTTTGGACTTTGGAGTAAACAAGGATTCTCTTCCCGCGCTTTGTGGGTATGGTAAATCTGAATGAAATCTAATTTTACCTTTTTACTTTTTGGTATCGAAATTTATTTGATATTAAGTAAAGTTAATCTGTTATGGAAATATCTCTTTATTTATTTATTGTTAAGTAACGAACTATTATACTCTTAAGGTAATTATTTTTTATTCGGTTGATATTAAAATATTTTAAAATAAACACTAAAAATTTATAGTTATGGTGCAAAATGAATAGATTTTAAATAAATAAAATTATATTTGTATTTTTTATTTATTTTTAAAAATATTTATGTTCTGTTTGTATTCATTTAAATTTTTAATATTGTGTACGTATTTATTTATTTATTTATTTATTTTTAAAAGTATTTGTATTTATTCGTTTAACGTTCGCGAATATATTTATTTAACATTTGTTTAATGTTTAACAATCAACATTATCTTTTTATTTGCAAGCTAAAGAAAAAATAGTAAAATTACATCAATAGTCCTTATTTTCTTAGAATTTACAGTTTAAACTTCAAAAATCATCTTATGTTCAATTTAATCTTTATCTTCACTCGTATTTAAAATGTAAAAAGAAAGAAGGAAAAGGGAAATTGAGTAAACATGCTTATAAAAGAGTTAGTAAATGAACTTATAAATGAGTTAGTAAATGATTTTGTTTGTATACATATACAAATGTTTGTATACATATACAAACCAAATACACCTTTATTCATATTCATTCATTTATTAAATGAATGTATAATTTTTGGGGTAAACTACACGTTTAGTATCCAACTATCACTTTTATTCCATTTTGGTAATCCAAATATTTTTTATTTCAAAATTATACCCAACTTTATGTTTTAGTTTTATTTTAGTCACCCACTATTAATAAATTGACGGTGATACTGACGTGTCACCATAAGGTGATGTCATATCATCATTAGAATATAAACTAAAAATACCACATCAACAATTTTGTTAATTTTTATGATGAAGGATCAAAATGAAAATAAAATATAATAATAAATATGATTTTTTTTAAAAAAATAATTGGATGGCCAATTGTGATAGTTGAGTGTCAAATGTATAATTTTTAAATATTTTATTTATATTCATTTATTTAATTTAATAAACATTAGAACCGTTGACAAACATTTCCGAAACACTGTTTATTTAGACCCATTCCTGCAGCTATTCACAATGTCTTCCTCATCACTGAACCACAAACCCCAGTACCAAATACACCTAACCACTGAACCTCAACGAACACAATTTCTTCGAAAGCCTCAAACCATCATCAGAGTATCAACCCTTCATATCCAAAATCATCAAAATGAATCCATCGCCCAAGCCCCTAATCCCGCAGACCCAAGCCTTTCTTATTCTCTAAAATCGACCTCGACCTGTCGTCAGCTGTCGTTCCCATTTTCTCATGAATCAAATTCACTAAAATCAGCTCATTAAGTTTGCTGATTATTAGAGAAAACCCAATCTTGAGATAGTGATAATTAATAAAATAAAAGTAGGAGAAGCTCCCACCCTCCCCCATGGCTTCAGCTCCTTCCAAGCTCTATGCAGGTTCCCCTTTCTTTTAACTTTTATCTACATTCACATAATTGTGATCGATTCTCTTCTTGGTGTTTCTTTTGTTTTGATAATTTTATTACTCTTTATTGTTATTTGTTGTTGCAGATGATGTTAGCCTTGTGGTAGTTTTGCTAGACACAAACCTATTTTTCTGGAGTTCCTCTTCAGTCTCTTTCTCTCAGTTTCTTTCTCAAGTAATCTCTCTTTTATCTATCCGAAAACCCCTAAATTAAAGCAAACCAAGATGAAAGACTCCTTGATTTTTGCATTTTATTGATCTGTATGTTGGTGTTTGTTTAGGTTCTTGCATTTTTGAATGCAATATTGACTCTGAATCAACTGAACCAAGTCGTGGTTATAGCTACTGGATATAATTCTTGTGACTATATATTTGATTCGGCTTTGGATTTGAACCGAGGTATTGAGAATGGGAGAATGCCTGCTATGAGCTCCAGCTTGTTGCAAAAGTTAGAGAAATTTCTCATTAAAGATGAACAGTTGAGCAAGGAGGAACCTGAAGGAAGGATTAAGTCTTCCCTTTTCTCGGGGTCATTGTCAATGTCTCTTTGTTGTATCCTTTCTGGTGTTTTAAGGCTTCATTACTTTCTTTTTCATGGTAAACGTAGTTATTTTAGAAAATTAATGGGCTTCTAGCGTTAGTAGTGTTATTGAACCATGTAAAAGATTTGGTTGTTTCATACCTGACTGATATTGTGTTACAATTATTATTCAGCTGCAAACAAATGCACGGAAAACAATGGCATTGGTTACATTTGCCCGGAATTTATTAGTTGTTTGATTTAATCAGATTTTAATAGATATGCAGAGAGTGTTTCGTTCAGGAGCCCTCCATCCACATCCTCGAGTGAGTCTCTGAATAATTGATTGCTATTTGATTTATTTACCAAGCTCAGTATGAATCTGAAAAATGCTTACTTACCAATTATGCAGTTGGTACTCATTGTGAAATTCTATCATGTGGTTAAGAGATTGAATGCTATTTTCATTTGATTGATGCTACACTTCTAAAAGATATTTGTTTAAGTGAATTAGGATAGATATAATTGTGGTGCTGAAGTGCATGCTGGATGATGTAATTCCCTTCTTATTCATCAAAAGATTAAGAGTGGTTTAATTTCAAAAAACTTGGAATAGCTATATTCTAACCGAGAAGTAAATGAAGAGTTTCTGTGGGTACATGTTGGAAAAAGAAAAACACTAAACGTGCAGATTTTGTAATTAGCTTATGGACTTATGGTGGCTGATTTTTATGTATTTTCTTGTTTAGTTTTTACTACTGTGTTTCATAGTATTTTACTAACATTTGTATGCAGATCTTATGCTTGCAGGGATCACCAGATGGACCTGAACAGTAAGTTCTTTTTCTTTTTATGGTTATTCACACTTTCCACCTCTGGCTTTTTGACTCCAGAAAGATTTCTTCTTTTCAGATATGTTGCAATCATGAATGCAATATTCTCTGCCCAACGCTCTAAGGTAATCAATGTTACATCCAGTATTTCTTTCTCATTGTTCCAATTCCCCCCCCCCCAAATTTCCCTGTTTCATTAATTTGGCAGTTCATTACCAACTCAATTCAATTTATAGTGACTTGAAAACTTTAGATGATTAGTTGCGAAGTTAAATATCCTATTCTTTCTACCACCAGTAGCAGCTGTTTGGATTTTTTTGTGATTTATGTATAGGGTATTACAATGACAGCTTCTAGTTGGTTAAAGGGTCTTAACCTTGTAGTGGAAATATAATTGTTTTCATTCTACCATAGCTATCTTGTTTTCAAGTAGGATGATTTGCATTATGTTAGTAGGTTAAATTTGACATATTTCATTTTTTAGTTTAGGACTGTTTTTTATTATTCTCACTCTATAAACATGAATACACGCATGATACGACTAACTGGCTTGTTTATTATTTTCTTTTGTATTTGTAGTTTGTCTTGTTTCAAAAGTTTTCATGTCGCCAATCTTAATTAACTGGCTACCTGCTGCAGGTTCCTATAGACTCTTGTTACATAGGTGCACAGAATTCAGCCTTTCTACAACAGGTATGGCACCTTTAGTAATGCTCTCTTAATGGCCTTATGCTGCAAACAGATATTGGTCTTCCTCTCTCAGTTCTACTGATACTTTTTGATGCATGGGAGTTTTAGGCTTCTTACATAACTGGTGGTGTACATCATAAGCCGCAAAATTTGGATGGGCTGTTTCAATATCTTATGGTATGTTGTTTTTCTCAAATTGGTTTGCAATTTGAATTTTTGATTTAAAATCTTGCTTGTTGCCAGCAATTGCCCCACTCTGTACTGACTGATGAGCTTAACTTGATTTCTTGACATACGTTTAATAGTACTTGTTCATGATGACTGTACCGTGTAGCCTTTTGCATATTGTTAAAGTGTCTATTTCTTTATAAATGTTCTTCGAAGTGCATTTGGTTGATGAAAATTTGGGCAAATTATTTTATTAATATGTTATTGGCCTTCCATGCAGACTATCTTTGCTACCGACTTGCATTCTCGCAGTTTCATACATCTTCCAAAGTCTGTTGGCGTAGATTTTCGTGCCTCGTAAGTTTTCATGCTCTTATTGCTTTAACTTTAAACCGTGTAATGATTATCATACATCTTCAAAAACCTGTTCATGTAGATTTTCGCGCCTTTTAAGTTTCAATGCTCTTATTGCTTTTAACTTTAAACCATGTAGTGATTGATTGTATTCTGAAATATGCAGATGTTTTTGCCATAAAAACACCATTGACATGGGCTACATATGTTCTGTATGCTTGTCGATTTTCTGCAAGCATCAGAAGAAATGTTCCACTTGTGGGTAAGCAGTTCTAGTTGCAAAGTTTTGATTGATTTTTTTTTGTTCTGCTCCCAATTATTTGTAGTCTTGATTATTGAACAAATAGAAGAACAGTGAGTTCTCAAGCTTTGCTTGACATAGTGGTTGTCTGGAATTTCCACCATCCGTTTCTCCTCTTGAGAATCCCAGACATCTTTCAAGTGTTTTGGATTTTTTCCCATCAGTTTTTGTTCCTTGCTTGTAGAGTTGATGTTTTACTTGTAAATGCAGGTCAGTATTTGGTCAAGCTCAATCTGAGGTGGCTTCGGCATCTGACAAAAAGAGGAAGACTCCCGAAACATAAGTTAAGGAGGTTACTGAAGTTATATAATCTACTAAATTTGAGTAAGTCTTTCTTGCTCAGCACAATATTTGTTTCGTTCTAGACATTGCACTGTTTGCCTGTTTTACTTTTAAAAGCAATCAGTACATGAATTTTCGTTTCTTGACTGAACCGAACTCTTCTGCTTGTGCAAACTCTTGTTATGTGGAATTTGTACAACATAAATAATTAGATGTTGAAAGATTGAGCTTCCATTTAAAAAATTTATCTTCTCACAAACTCATTAATGTTGAAAAGAATTCTAGATGACTATTTTCCCGATTATTTATATCTTCTTTCTCGAACCATGGTTTAATTCTTCTATTTATCAGTGGTTGTGTTCTTCAGAAAAGAGGGGGCAATGTGTGATTGCAGGCCGGAGATGCTGTATCTCTCACCATGAATTCCTCTGCTAAACCTCCAGAAGAAATTGATAGATTGGGGATAAGATTTTAATCTCCATTCTTACTTCTCTGTTCATTCACTGAACTGTTTAAGCTAATTTAGCAGAAAACATACTTTGTTATTTGTAGAAACATTCAGTGATTCAAATCTGCACTTTTAGGAACTTAGAAATTAAAGGAAAAAATTATGGTGAATCTAGCTTTGATTATGGACCTTTTTATAACTTTGTTTTACTAATTTTCTTGTGGTAAACCTTGCAACCTGATAAGTTTTTGGACATGTTCATCTATTTGCGAGTCTTTTTAACTTCAATTGTACTTTTATGGTACATTGGACGACAAATTTTAATTTTTTTAGGAACTTTAAAATATTGGTATTTTAGAATGTATCAATTTGCAGTATTTGTTTGTAGTTGCTTTGGATAGTTTTTCCCTTAAAGAATACGAAATTTGGAGTTTGATGAAATAGAAAATAATTATAATAGGAAAATAATAATATTAGAAATGATGGAACTTAATGTAAGATATTCGGTATCCTTAATTTTTGGAATATCAAAATCTTTAAGTACCACTTGATAATTTTGGAAAGATAGAACTACTAAATACAAAAACAATATATATAAGATTAACATGGCATGCTTAATACATGCATTGCTTTCTCATTTAAGATAATGACAAATTTAATCATGTGCATATATATTTGCAAAATAAAAAAATACGATATGTATACACAAATAACTTGCAAGTATACATTTTCCCATTGACATCCTTATGTCAATGTTGCATACTTGGAACATCCAAATTACTTTCTTTGTACAAAGTTAATATTTACACGAGAAGCAAACGTGAGTGAATCAGTACAAACAGAATATTTCAATAAAAGTGTATTTACATTATTTAAATTTTACAGCAATAACAATGACTAAACAAACCAAGTAACAATCGTTGAGCATTGATACAGTTCAGACAGTTTTTTTTTAATCTGAAATGGAGCAATATATTCATAGCGCCCTCATTACAACTTTGCTGGTCGTGTGGATGCCCATTGCAGCAAGTCTTACTACGGTTCGGGCCCTATATAATCTGTCAATGTCAAAGGATCAATTCAACTGTCAATTACTAGATTGAAGATTACATAGGAACATGGTAAAACCTAGCACATTATATTGAATTTTTTACCCCAAATCTAAAGGCACGAAGAACTTCCATATCGATACGAACTTGGATTACAAAGTTAAAAAGTTTCCAAACTACATATGTTTTGGCACTGTGTTGTAGTATAATAGGCTATAACTTCTTCCAAACGATACTTTCATCAACATATTGCACGAATTTAGCTCATGATATGTAGACAAAAGATTCTGCAGTACCTAAAGGAGTTCACATACTCTAATGCATAGAAGGCGTAATTGTTTCAATGCATAACAATTCCTCCTCGGTTTTCATAAAAGTATGGAAAGACAAATTAATATCCTTCGCTTGATAATATCCAAGCAGGCTCCATATTTTCAACATGAATCTCAATATCCTAAAAATGATGAATGCAAAATTAAATCAACAGGCCTGTTCTCTCAAACAAAAAGAACAAGCTGATGTTTACCTTCAGAGCACAAAAGGAGATTGAAAAACATGAACAAGAAAGAAAAAATAGTAAAAGAAACAGTAAAACGCACCCAGCCAGTGCAAGTCCCCAGTTTGATAACGCATAGAACATCTTTCCAGCATGCCAAATGTCCAAAACCTTCTCCAGTTTGCTGATACCTCCTAATGCTTTAACTAGAGCTGTTCACATTCTAGTCATAATAGGAAACATCGCATAACAGTTAGTTGACTAGAAAAGTGGGGAGGGAGGCAATATAATTAGTGACAAAAACTAAGGTGAATGGTGTTCTGTACTCAATTATTCAGGCGAGTTTCAAAAATACCAGGTCAGAAACTCATAAAAACAGAAAACTAATTTTCAAGTATATAAACATTGAATTGAGAATAAAAACGCGTGAAAAAAGTAAGTGAGAGAAGCTCCAGCTTCTCTCTAACCTAGGAGATTTCAAATTTCAAAATTCCAGGGGCAGAGGGAGAGAGAGAATATGAGTGATGTTTAACAGCCTTCTCCATCGTCATCCGTCGCTTTCCGTCCGCCGTCCTCCGTACTCCGACCACCGTCCGCCGCCGCACATCGACCTCCTTTTGACGCCTTTTTTTTCTTAAGGATCATCGTCTATCCATAGAGTTTCCTTTTTCCTGGTTTATTTCGATTGATTCCCCTTCAATCGGAGCAAATCTAAACGCCTTTCTTCGCCGATTTTTCCATCAGCAGTCTTCAAAGTTCGTTCCAGCTGTGCACGCCGGAAGCTCGTGACAAAAACCCAAGTATTAAACTGTGAACACCCACTGCCGTTCACCGGAATTTTACCGTCACTGTTCAGGAGCTCTATTCAGAACGCTACTGCTGGTTCTGGGTTTTCACGCATGATGTCATAAACCTTTTCATCTCTGGTTTTTTTGGTTCAAAATTAAATAGTTTGGAAGCCTTTGCATTCAAAATGACGTTCAAGAATCGAGATGAAGCAAGAGAGAAACGGGCTGAAACCTCAGCTCGTCAGACTAAGAATAGTCGTCAGTCCAAGATAGAGGAAAAGGAGAACGTAAATAATTTGAAAAAACCAGATGATAAGACGAAACGGGTGGATTTTATACTGTCGAAGGTGATTGAAGCGGAGCATCAAAATCAGAGAGATGGGCAGCAGACAAAGACTGTGCATAAATCAGAGGAGGCGAGGAAGAAGCTGAGTAGTACAGTGGCAGCGGAAGAATATGAGAGGATGGTGTTGGTGACAAACAAGAATATGAATGATTCGTTGGTTGAAGCAAGGAGTGTGGAAGGGGCCATTGCGCAGATTTCAGAGGCGGAAATCCTTCCTCAGGATTCTCATGTTTTTAACTATTGGAGGAAGAAAGATTATCCAAGAATCAACAATGGGTTTAGAACTGGCTGCTTTACGTTATACATTGATAATTTACCAGAGAATATCCATTGGAAGCGGTTTGGATCGTTATTTTGCCCATACGGTCAGGTTATTGACGCCTTCATTCCAACTAAAAGAAATTCAAAGGGGGTACGTTTCGGTTTCATTCGCTTTGCTACAATTGGAGAAGCACGGAGAGCGATCTCAAAGATGAATGGCGCTCGCATTGATGGTAGTAAAATTGGAGTCTCTTTTTCTAAATACAACACAAGACATTCTTTTTGGAGAAAGTCTTCGCCAGTTGTCCACCTAAAGCCCGAGAGAGAAAATGTTACAAGAAATAATCTCTATACAGTAAATGGTGTTATTGACGAAGCTAAACTTCAAGTTTTGGATAACTGCCTAATAGGGTGGTGCAAGAATTATACCAAAATCGGTGATCTTGCTAGCCAAATGCAAGACAAAGGACTCAACGGTTTCTCGTTAATGAGAGCTGCTGGGAATGTAGTTCTCATGATATTCGAGGATTCTGATACATTGAGAAGGGTTAAGAATGAAAAATCAGAGACTCTTGCAGGGTGGTTTTCTAGAGTTAAAGTTTGGTCGGAGAATCTAGTGGTAGAATGCCGTCGAGTATGGGTAGTTTGCGAAGGGATTCCTTTTCACGCGTGGAATTGGGGTACTTTCAAAACATTGCGGCTAGGTGGGGCAAATTAGTATCAATTGATGAAAGCTCTCAGTTTCCTTCATCTTTTGATCGTGCAAAACTTCAAATCCTCACAGAGACTAAAGTAAGGAATGATGAGTCCTTGAGTTTGAAGGTCGGTTCTAATTCTTTTGAAATCATGGTGCATGAAGTTGAGCCTTCTTTCAAACCAAACTCTTGGATCCCTGAGGAAGTCGATGATTCTCCAGATCTGAATTGTTTTCTCGGGCAACGTTGGAGAATTCTCTGTCAGGATCGTCAGTGTCATCCCCAGGTTTAAATTGCCCCGTCAAAGATGTTGCAATTGAAGGTCCCCACTTAGAAAAGGTTTCACTCATAAAGAGTGTCATAAGCGATGAGAAACCGAATAACAAATTGGGGTTGCACACAATGGAGGCTGTGGATCATTCAAAATTAAATATCGTGGAGCATCTAGCTAATAAATCAGTTGATCATTCTGATGGTGTTAGCCTCAGGGCCTCGGAAGATGCTCTTATGATAGGTCTCATTACTTCTCATGGTTCATCTACTGACACATTTCAATTAAAGGAAGATATCCCAGTGGTACCCCCTATCCCTGCGAAATTAAGAACTAATCGTGTGGCGAAGAAATGCAAGACAAAGAAAAGAGTTCTGAATTTATTGGCAAGGAAACATTGATTGAAGGGAAGGAAGTGTGGTTTTGGTTCATTAAAGATAATTATCGAGCTGATTTTTTTGGTGATTTTGATACATGTTGGTATTTTTGTGGAGTTCCCTTCAAAGGCGGATGTTTTTGGTTTAATGGTTTTAGGTGTTGTTTTTATGTATGTTATGTCATTAAATGTTGGGTTGTTTTCCTATTGATGGAGGTTTATCTTAGGTATAGGGTGATTGCCTTTTGATTTTTGTGGTCGAGAAGGTGAGAGCTTTAGGTGATTATGTTTTTTGTAATGGTGTTTATCCTTTATTCAATGAAATATGAGGTACTCTTTTCTTCCTTCCTATGTTCGTTAACATACTTCTTAGTATGTGGACGAATACGAAGGGAGTTTTTAATGAGACCTCCAACTTCTATCAAAAAAAAAAAAGTATATAAACATTGAGGTTAGTTATCATTGAAAGGGAAGATACATCTAGAATTACATGCATGGGATTTATTGATAATTATAACAACACTGTACATTGTCCACTATAGAGTTAAATGATGGAGTGGATTTATTGAGGTTAGTTTATTTAGGTAGTAAAGGCATAAAGCCAGATGATCAAAGCTGAAAACTTACTTTTCTGCAGTTGTTCTGGTGTTAAAGTCATCAATACCAGGATCACAAAAAACATGAGAAAACAGCACATAATATGAATAATTCAAAAAAGAAAAAAAATCAAATCCACTAGCTAAAAACCTGAGCTTTAGGGTTAGACAAAATGAATTTTTCCATAAAGTTAACAACCCCATCTACAACATGCTCTTCAGTAACAACAACACAATTCTCATCATCAATTCCACTCCACTCTTCAACATTGCTCGGAACCATTTCATCAGTTACCCAAACCCACCAACTTGAATCTTTTTGGTTAACGTTAATCAGGATATCAGCTTCATGCATATCATCCCCTAATTTAAAATAAAATTCAACAAAAACAGATAAATCAAATTTCGATATTCCTAACAATAAATAAAAGAAAAAGAAAAAAAATGTATCAATATTATTTCTCAGCTATTGATTCAACTTTATGCGGTGATAATTTATCAGTTCAATTATGAATTTCTTAATACATTCCCTTCATTCATGGAAAAACTATATAGGATATCAGCAAGTGCAACTAATTGATACAGAAATGCTGAGATCCAATAAAGTATTCAATACTTCGATGAAAAATGTTGTGTACTATGACCTGTAGCTTCCTTGAATGGAAACTCGATTTTAGTATTGGATCCATCAAGAGAGTTGAGTCGGACCAAAACGTCTTTAGATTCCACGGTAGATACCAACCGAGCATAGAGCTGCAGTAAATTAAATCATTAGGTTCCAGAAATTTGAAAAAAAATAGAAACAGAATATCAAACACAAAAAGGGTATGGAATTTATTTACGTCCGGGGGACAATCGTTAAAGTGAGCAGGAGATTCGGGGAGATTGTTGAGGAGTTTGAGGTTCTGCTCCAGGAGGTTCCTGAGTCGTTTATTTTCGGATTTTAGGGTTTACAATTCTTTTTCAAGCTTGGAAGTGTCATGATTTTCAGGAGAATAGCCGTTGTTGTGACGGTGGTGGCAACATTCCATGGCGGTCCAGGCGACGTCGGCGACTTCGACGACCGTCTTGGTAACCTCCACAACTTCATGGCGGATCATTGTTTTTCAAAGAGGAACCCTAAAAATTTGAACCTTTAATTTAGGGAATTAGATTTGGGAGAAATGAAGAATTTTGACGATTAGATGAGATTGGTTGGTTTTTGTCGTTTTAAGTATTGCGTGTCCCAACCCCAAAGACCAATTTCCCATTTTTTTAATAATTTTAAATAATCAAATTTATTAATATTTTATTAAGTAAAACTTTTGTATATTATTATAATTATATTTATAATTTTGAGTAAAACATAAATAATATGATTTAATATGATTCATATGAATTTTTATTATTATTTCATGGCTATTTTTATTCAAAGTGACGGGAACAATATAATACTTATTTGGAGGTAATATCATTCTATCATTTTAATAAAAAATTGTTATTATTGATAATAATTATTATTTGATAATGATTTTTTTCTGTGAATCAAATGTGCTCTCAATGTATTCTTTAAACTAATTTTTTAATAGTTTAATTTTACAGAAATTTAAGACCGTTAGACGAGTAAAAATAGATGACTGAGATTAATCGTAGGAAATAAAAATATTTTTATTAAAAAAAGTTAATCTCAACAATATATTTTTACTCATTTAACAGTTTTAAATCTATGTAAAACTAAAAGAGTTTTACATAGTATAAATAGACCCTAATTCTTATTTTATATTTATATAATTTACATGTTAAATTTATGTAATGATTTTTTTAATAATTATACTTTAATTTAATAACTTAATAACTATTTGTTCATATAAAATTAAACACAAAATATCTTTTCACTATTCTTATTTTTAAATTCAAATTTTCATTTATATGAACCAAATATATTTTTAATTTTTAAATTTTAAAATAAAAAATATTTTTTAAAAATAAAATCAGAAAACAAAAACATAAACATAAATTATTTTTTTAAAATCAAACTGACCCTAATATAAAATGTTTTCCCTACTTTGTAATTTTGATAAACCACGACAGTGATTTTATTATCGTACCCCCGCCTACACCGTGGAATTTCCTTATACCCCTCTAGCTTTTCTTCTCCACGCTTCCCCGTGTCTTAAGGTTTTAGTTCACTCTGTTTCTCTCTAAACCAGTAGAAGTGAAACCTTTTCCCTAGTCCCGACAAATGGCAGAGGAGACGCACGATGACCCCGCAGTCGAGAAAGAAGCCAAGGAAGCGACGGAGGCGACGGTGGAGAAGGACGATATCGAATTACGAATTACCACCGCCATGCGCTCTCGCGTTGGCCACTTCAAGGAACAATCCGAGTACACAGACACTCTTTCTCTTGCTTTTTATCTATTTCATTCTCATTGAATAGGTTTTTAGTTTTGAGTTCATAAGTTTGTGAATAAATTCGCATTACACAGTTGACTTCTAGGGATTTTTAGCGGGTGTTTGAAGGGTTTTGTTCGAATTATTTGAGAAAATGGGAAATATTTTGTTACATTGGAGTCTGTCGCTTATTTTGTAACCTTGATTTACTTGATAATTTTGTTTAATTTGATTTTTTTATTGGTAAGTTCATTGACATTCGAGGGAGTTCGGAGATTGTTGGAGAAAGACTTGGGGTTAGAGACGTTTGCATTGGATGTTCACAAGAGATTCGTCAAGCAATGCCTGTTAAAGGTACCTTTTTTTACCCTTTTTTACGATATTGGAATTCCTTCTTTGCTATATTTTACTTGATAAGATGCTTTTTCTCATTTTGGCTTCATGTAAATTTTGGCTTTTACTTTTGCTTATTTCCTTTTCCCTTCTGAAACCAAAAAGGTCTATTTAGTTAAGCAGCCAATGCTATTTTTTTAAAAATAAAAATAAAATTCTGTATATTTTATATAGGATAATACATAATTTTATTTTTTCTTCATCTTTTACAATTACATGGAATAGTAATGTTAATTCTTAATGCATTTTGTCGATATTCTCAAATGATAATTAAAGTATGCATAATTTATTTTGCAATTGGATGCAAACGCTAAGTTGTAGTTGGGTGCAAAATGAATGATTTTAACTTTGCCTGGAAAAATTATGATACAATTTATGTTATACTTAGTCATTTGTTTATTTTCAATATATGGTGATTTTTCTTTCAATATTTGCCTTTGTTTTATGACAACTTTTAACAAGAGGTAACTAGAAAAATTATAACACTCTTAGCCTAGATTTTTTTTTCTTTCTTTCCCTGTAACATAAGCATTTATGTGAAATGCTAGTGTAAGAATGTAATGTAACTAGTGGAATACTTTTACAATTTTATTCATATGGTGGAGAAGTGGTTGATCTATGCATAATTAATTGCCTTATATTTTCTATACAATGCTTTACTTAATTATTGGTAGAATATGCTGTTGTTTCAATACACATGCTTTTTGAAATAATGGTACTTCCGTTTTAAAGTCTCTCTGGACTTGCAGGACTAGGTTTGGTAGAGAAAAGAAATTTGATTAACTGGCACAATTGTTTGGGAAAGAGCTATAGTTTATTCAGTACAATGAAAATAGAAATCTTGCTGTTGCTGGAACAATTGGTTATTAATAATGCTATGTAAAGAAGGAATAGATGTGTTGGAATTTGAACTCTCAAAAAGTGTTGTTTCATATTCTCATTCCACTTTTAATTGATCAGTACACTTATCCATTCTTATTTACAGTGTTTAGATGATGGCAATGATGATGAAGGCTCCAAAAGTTCTGGTGAAACAGTGGAGAAAAATGTAAGTACAATCACTGAAGGAACAGAATCTCCCAAAGGACAGCAATCTAAGAAAGATACAAAGGAACCTTGCTCTGAAGATGACAAATTGGAAGAATCTCCTGTTTTGGGCCTTCTATCCGGACCAAAAACTATGAAGGCTGAGAATAAAGAAAATAAAGAAGTTTCTGAGAGTACAATAAAGAAATCTATCAGAAATAGAGCTTCATATGTTAAAGATAATTCGGAGTAAGTTGCTAAATTGTTTGATTTCTCACTGCTAGTCAACATAATTGCTTGTTAATTATGTTGCGTCATATTTTTTTGTGGGCTATCCTTTTTCGAGTGCCTTTGGTATACTGAGGTGTACCATTTAATCATTGGAACTTTGATGTTTCAGTAAAGTCACAATGGCTGGACTCCGTCGGCTTTTGGAGGAAGATCTTAAACTTGATAAATATGCACTTGATTCATACAAGACGTTCATAGCTGAACAATTAGATGAGGTGGGCATGCTTTGTTCGTGAAAAGTCAATTCAACTTCATAAGCCATCATGTGCATTGTAGCTCTCTTGTAATTTTTCTGTTAATTATCAGGTATTGAAGTCTCGTGAAGCTCCTGCTCCTGCAAGTGAGGTTAAGAAAAAAAATCTCAAGAAAAATTCTCAGAGGGTTAGCAAGAAATTGAGTTCTTCATCAGGAAGTGAGAATGATGAAGAAGAGGGAGACGAAGATGATGAAGAAGAAGAGGAAGAGGTGAAACCCAAAAAAAATATCACTCCTAAAGGGAAGAATAAGAACATTGAAGCACTTAAAAAACGGAAAAATCTTCTGATGCAAAGGCGGTGAAGATCTTGCTTCTTATTGCTCATTTTCAGTCCAAATCTATTTTCTTATAAGTTATGCATCTTTGATCTGATTTAAATTAAGCATCTTTTAATCATAGTATTAATATGCAGAGAAAAGAAACTTTACCAGTATATGGGAAACGTGTGGAACATCTGAAGTCAGTTATCAAGTCATGTGGGATGAGGTTTCACTTCGACCGACCTTTTTATGAATCTTGATCTCCACTAAGGTTGTATGTTGGTGTATTCTCATTACTTATTTTATTTACAGTGTTCCTCCTTATATATACAAGAGAGTCAAACAGGTCCCTGAGAATAAACGTGAAGCCCAATTAGTTAAGGAACTAGAAGAGATTCTTTCCAAAGAAGGATTGTCTGCAAATCCTTCAGAAAAAGGTCAGGATTCTGGCCCCTGTTCAACTCGTTTACTATTCATTTCTAGAGATGGCCTTGTTTTGAGAAATATCTTTGTTACAAAATTGGGATTAAGTTTTATTTTGTCATTAGAAGCTCTTTAATGTTTGGATAACATATTGGGGAAGAGGACATTTTATCAACTAATTTTGTTATCTCATGGAAGCCTTGACCATCTACGAGCCAAGATTATAATAGAACTTTTCCACCAAACCTAAAATACCAGATGTGAGTGATGATGATGAAAGTGAAGAAAGTGATGAGGATGACGACGATGAAGAACCTGGTGATGATGGCAACAGCCAGAGTGAAGAATCAGAAGAAGGTGAGTATAAAGATTTGTTTGTATCCTTTGTTATAAGTTTTATTGACCAACTTTGTGACTATTAAATCTGGGAACCTCGAGCTTGAGAATATAAACATGCAACTGGTGAATCAATTCTGTGATCTTAACAGATCTCTGTCCCTGTAGACAGGAGTCGGTAGTTCAGAAGTGTAGTAATGATAAATAAATTTATCACTCTTAGCTAACTAAAGGAATTTCTTTCTTTGTTATGATACATTTAGAGGGATATTTATACCTTGGATAGTGTATTTAGTACTTAGTGAATCTATGATTTCACAACTGGATAGGAGAAGTGTTTGTGGCACTTTTCATAAATGGGGCAATGTCAATACCACCAAAAAAACACGGAATATGAAGAATCAACTTTTAAGTGAATCGAGGTATTAATGTCACGTAGTTGACCACGGAAAAACTGTTGAATTGAAAATGGAAGCATTTGCAATGTAGTAGCATTTCAGACCCCTGATTCGTCCAAATATCTGAAAGTGAAACTATTATATGCTGGCAAAAACAATTTCTTTAATACTAGCTTTTAGTTAGATAATAGGTTTTGTGTTCTAAGCTAATGACAGCTGTCTTATGTGATCTGTGCATATGTTTGCAGAAGAAGACGGCGACAGTGATTGAATCCTGCATGAGTTTAAACTTGGAAGGTGGTGGCTCGCTCATGAACTGTTTGATTATGATGCTATATTATGTATCTCAGTTTAATTTCCCACTAATACTTTGTAGTATACTTGGTGTGTTTCTTAGTTATTGATAGAAAAATTTGCTTCAATATTTTTTTCATTAAGATGCCTTATATTGTTGAGTAAGGCAGTGACTTAGGTTAGTTTTCTGGAAGAACCTATCTTGCAAGTCCGAAATATTGTTTAGTCGAATTCAAGGGCTTCATGATAAAGCTTACAAAAGTTAAATCGGAGCTCTTTCAAGTCAGAATTCAAGGCCTTTGTATCATTGTCGTCGTTGTTATTATTAATAATAATTATATTCATATTTTACTTCTCTGTCACTTCTAAGCAATGGAGGGATGTAAAACCAACAAAAAGGAGATGTCCTAGTCACTTGCCCATCTTATGATTGCTTCTGTCATTTCCCAGATATGGGAGGGATGTTAAAACAGCTAAAGGAGACAACCTACTCACTTGCCCTTTGATTTCTTGACTTGGAGGATGAAATCCTCGGCTAACAAACATAGGATGTTAGCTGCACCGGGCAATTTGTATATTGTTGTTGTGTTTGTATATTTGGAGCATGAGTCTACTGTTATTAATAATTGAATATATTTTCAGTAGAAATTAACTTTACATTAAAATAATAATGTTTAAAATGTAAAAAAAATATAAAATTATTTAAGTTATATAATTATTAAAATATAAAAAAATTAATGTTTTCACCTAAAAATTCCTCGATTGTCTTTCATGAGTTTGAGTCTATTACAATTCTTTGAATATATCTCAAGTGGAATAGCCTGAATCAACTTGAGCCATATTAATATTGTAACAACCAACAATCAAAAGACAAAATTAAAATAATTAAATAAGATAAAAAAATTTAAAATTAAATTATTTGAGTTTATTATATAGATAAAATTATTCTTTAAGCCTTTCTTATTATTGTTTATATCAAATTAGTTGTTTACACTTCAAATAAAGAGTTATATCTATAAACAAAAATAAAATGAGAGTTTTAAGCAACATATTCAGGGTTGGACTATAGTTTTTTAAATCCATGGTTTGAATATCATTGCAATATTAGTAAATTTTTTTCTTTCACTAATTTTTGTGGAAGTGTGTGAAATTTGAGGTTTGAACTGAAGAAGATTGTCTCGATTCTTATAAATTTTATTACATCTGCATTCTCTTCAGTTAAGCCTTATAAAGATTTCTTAGCAGGGTTAAGCTCCAATGGATATGTATGAGTTGTATTTTGTAATTGAAGTTTTGGACCCATGTTCCTGAAATCCTGTTCTATCTATTGAACTATATGCTTCCATGAATGCAGAATAGCTGTAGGAATATAGCCTTTTCCTCAACAGGAGACAATATCCCTGCAAGCACGAACCAAGTGGCTTATGTGGTAAATGAATTATTGTTATTCCTTGAGGATTCGGGTTCGAGCACCAAAGATGCTAGGGGTGTGAGCGTTCAATGTCGAGAGGTTGAGAGTTATCTATGAACATACATTGTATTGTAATTACCCAGATTAAAAAAAAATGGGGTGCGAGATGTATGAGTCAACAACTAAAGTTTTAAAAGTAGTTAGAATAGTTATTGCATGACTTGTGATCTCAGTCACTTTTGCATGATTTTATTAGCTTCATTAATTTGAGGACATGAACAAAATGTAATACTGTGTCTGTATGAATATAAAACCCTTTTCAGTAACAGGTCACAGTACAGTGAAGAACCATTAGCATATTGACAGGTTAAAGCCCGACAATTACTTTATTCTCTTACAAAACACTCTTAAAGAGGAAGATGTTAGATATATGAATCACTTCCATAGCTTCAAAAACTCTGCTACAAATTTACATTCTTGTTTCATATTTCTGTAGTTATTTGGTTCTCAGCTGGGATCTTCAGTACTCTAGCAGGTCCCTCGATGCCATCTTCCAAGTTCATCACTTTAGAACCGTCCGTGATCGGCAGTTCCTGGACTTTACCTTTCTCTTCCGTTGCAGTTGCGTTTTGTTGGTCTTTGCTTTTGCCCCATAGCACAGTGTAAAGTCCAAAGATTATGATAGCAGTTCCAATTATACTGTAGAACACCCACAAAAGCAAGAATAAAAAAAAAATACATGATCAGCAGTGAATTCTATTGTGTAATGCTAAAAGTAAAGTACCTTCCGAGGTGAATGTTTTCTGCTAAAATGATTGATCCTAGAGCCGCAGTGATGATCATGCAAAGGGGACTGAAGGCAGTAACAAAAACTGGGCCTTGTTCCCTAATCACAACTCCTTGTGCATAGTATGCGATTCCAGAACACACCACTCCCTGATTAATTAACCACAAGAGTTTCATAAATATATTACTGTTACTATATGGTTAAAGTTCATTGTTTTATCTTTTGTTTTGGTACTTACAGAATATACAGCAGCTAGCAAGCTTGAATCAAATCCAATTTTCCAGGCACTCAAATCTCTCTCCATTGCAAACGACACCGCTGCACCTCCAATGGTCCCGATAAAGCATATCAAAGCTGTAAGAGAGAGCTCTGCTGGGTATAACTTCAATGTAAATGACTGAAACCAAAAAATCATTAAAACCCCATGTCAGGAATATTATAGGGTTATTGAAGAAATGAAATGTAAATTGTTACTAACCTGCAAAATGTAGAAACCTGACCAGCCCCAGCATCTGGCTAAGAGCATGACTGTTCCGGCAACCCAATGCTTGGCCTCGGCTTCATTGGTGGCGGTGTGGTGGCTTCCACCTTGCAACTTTATGAAATTGATCGCCGGACCTTTGTACAGTGTCATGATAATTGCTCCGGGGACCATGATTACTGTTCCGATTATCTTGGCAATGCTGCGCACCTTCTTCATGTTTACTCTCTCCAACCTGTTTCACAAAGTTAATGCTTGATGATTTATTGCAGTAATTATTTCCTGGCAATAGTGAATAATGGAAGTGCAAACAAAAAAAGCATTTAATATTCCAAAAAGTTTATCATGAATATTCCATAAGATGCATATTAGGAAGATGACATAACCCACAAATAAATCAGAACAAAAAAAAATTGTTTATTTAAAAGATAAGGGGATAAATGGTGATGGCAACTTTCGACATAGATGTTACTGGTTTGGTGCTTCGTATATTATTACTTGGCGCATGCAGCTTTCGTTTCCTCCCCGCTTCATTTGCACGCTTCTTATTATTGCGTTTATGGGTATGATTCTATCAATCAGTAGATTAAAATTAACCCAATTATGTAACATTATAGTACCTGAAAATCAACGCCATTACGAAGGTAATAGCTGGAATCACATTGACAGTGGCCGACGCAAGTGTTGCTGTCGTGTATTTCATCCCTAGATAGTACAGATTTTGGTCCACCACTGGTCTGTTCATCACCAAATAACCCATTAGCATGAAATATGATGTATGTACTAAGTTCTTCCGGTTTCTAACAAGGAATTTTTTTTATTTCATTTGCATGAAATGTATTCCCATGTGCCATGAAATGTAATTCTGCATAAACATGCATGAAAAAGAAATAATGTTTGGAGGGCATTACTCTAAGAAACCAAGCACCAGGATTCTGAGGAAAATGGGGAGAGTGAGCTTGGGTCTTATTTTCCTGTATGAAACAAAAGCAAACATTTAAAAGGTTTAGTATACGTTGATGGAGGAGAAAAGGATGCAAATTAAAGATAAGAATAAGAGAGTGAGTCACAGACCTTTCAAGCACAAGAGCAAAGGGTGCAATAACAATGGTGGCCACCAAATGGCGATAAACAGCAAGAACATAGTGGTTCATTCCGTGCTGCAATGAAACCATGGTTATGACATACATCCCTGCAAACCCAAACTGCAGGGATATCATTGCCAAATATGGTTTTGCCTTATTCAGCTCTATCATCGCCATTTCCCCTCAAATATATATTTATACGATCGAGTTCGCCTCCTCTGTCTCTGCCCTCACTATGTATATATGAATTCTTCAGATTTGTTGACATTGAAAAGAGACAAGGCTTCTTCTTATATAGGCGAGTAAACGGGGAAGTGCGTCAAACTATTTTCAAGTGCCTAAACTCTACGGATGTGAAACCAAGAGGGTGGAGACAATTTTGCTGCTCTCATCTCCCTCCATGGTCTAGTACGCGAAAATTTTTAATTATTTAAAGACATAATAAATAAGTGTAAAATCATTGAACTATCAGTCTAATTTATTTTATTGTTTTTTTAAATATTTAAATATTTTATTATAAAATAACGAGAGTTTAAGTAATTCAATTTACTAAAAAAATAGATTTAGTAATGTTAAAAGTTGTTACAAAATACTGATTTATCACCGTTATCAGGTTATTATGTATACTTTCATTATTGGATATGTTATAGTTCTGAAAATTAAAAAGTTATTCAACCCATCAAGTGTTTTCATGGTAAAATGATTAAAATAATCTTATTTATTTTAAAAGTTTTAAATTTGAACAGTTGTGTTTGTAGGATGCACGTTTTATCAATAACTTAAGAATATTTTGAATAGATATTATTTTATAATCATTCTAAGTTATTAAAAAATTACATAATTATTTTTTCCTTTTCCATTTTTAAAAAATATTCTTTCTAAATTTTCTCTATGGTAAATTCTAACGTTATACTTGAATTATAAAATATTTTCTTTTACAGTTGTAGCATCAACACATTAAAATCTTTGGTTAAAGCCTTTTAACTAAACCCTATGTAACATCCCAAAATCAGGGCTAGTGACTAAAATGGAAGTTTTGAAAACTTTGTGTTCAATTTTGAAAAATTGAAAAGTTCAAGGACTTAATTGGAGAATTTTTATGTTGGATTTAATAGTAAAGTTTGAAATTAATAAGGGTATTATGGTCTTTTCAAAGAGAAGATTTTTATTTTCTCTTTTTAAGGGATATAACCACGTGGAAATGGGAAATGAAAAAGGAAAAGTTTGGAGAATGAGAGCTTATTCTTCCTCCTCTCCACCAATAGCTCATTTTCAAAGGTGAGAATGCTTTCAGTTGGTTAATTCTTATAAGTTTTGAGTTGGTTTTATTCTTGGGATGTTAAGAAAGCTTAAGGGAAACTTAGGGTAGCTTAACACTAAAAGAATTTTAAATTATGGGTGATTGAAGAAAAATGGTTTTTTAAGTGAATTATTGAAATAGAGTTTGTTAATGAATTCAGAAGTCATATTTGACTAGTCATCAGTTAGAATAAGAGATTAAAGAGGTTAAATGGGATGAATTACAAAGTTGAATAATAGGCAAGATTTTTATTTTCAAGTATTCTAATGGGATATTAAATGTTTAGATGTTTTAAAGTGATATAAGATGGTTTGAGGAAGTATATTTGAGTTTAAAGTAATAAGAGGAGTTTAAAGTAAGGAGTTTAGATAAGTCTTGATGAATTTTCGGGTTAAAGAAGTGTATTCTGGGCATGGGGTATCGGTATTGTTCATCCAGTATTGATACTTCAAAGCAAAGATGAGTAGAAATTGAGCTTGGGGTATCGATACTGAAGGAACAATATCGATACTATATGATAAAATCGAATGAAATCTTTAAGAAGTATCGGTACCTAAAGAATGGTATCAATACTGATTTAAGAGATATCAATACTAAATGTCTAGTATCAATACCATTTTTAAGATACCAGCACAAAATGCCAAAATGGTATCGGTACCGAGTAGAGGTATCGATACCATAGAAGAGTGGTATCGGTACTGTATGGGGAGTACCGATACTATTGAGTATAAAATGCTAAGCTAAGTGTTTCTTCTAGCCTAAGTTACACTGATTGGTTATAACGATTCGAATTTCGATAATTATTTAAGTTGTATATTTGTGTAGATAACGATCAAGAGCAAATTCTGACAAGTCGATCAAGTAAAAGTCATCGAGAAAGAGATAAGAAATCGACATTGACTAGTGAGGCCAGGTGAGTGCATATTAGTTGGTATATGATGTGTTATGGAAATAAGACTTGCGACAAGTCTATTTCCTATATTAGGATGCATGAATTCATGAATTTAAGCATGTGTTTGATATGATTATTATGTGTGCTTGAGTACTTGAAAATGAGTGTATGTATCATATGTTATTGTATATGTTTCATAGTACTATATGAGTACATGTATGTGTGGTAACTATATGTTATAATAATATGATCTTGCGTGATAATGATTTAGGTGAATATATATATGATAACAATGTATAATTTATATGAAATAGATCTATGTGAAGTGGTTTAATATATTTATGTGATTAAATGAAAAGAGCGATAACATGAGTAGTATGGACCTATATGATAATATGAGAAGGTTATAGGAACTAGGTATTAATAAGTTATGAAAGTATATATATATATATGCTTAAGTGACAAACAATGTGAAAACTGAACTAAGGGAATATATGAGATTAATATATAAGAAATATGAGATAGTGAGTATGTAAAACTAGGATATAAGTTATAAAGTATTGATATATGGACTATATGAAAATAAGTACATAAATGCGTGATAATTTATATAAATTGAAATAATGGAATTATATGAATAAGTGAAGAAGTAAAGTAAGCTATGTGTCAATGATTATATGTGTAGGTGATATGTGACTATATAGACTATAGGATATACTTGAACATAAGAGAACAAAGTATAAGATATAGGATATAAACTATGGGGTTACATGAACACATGAATATGCCTTGTATGACTAATATGTTATTTGGTTATAAGAGAATAAAACTTAAACTATATGATATGAGATAAATGAAGGAGTGCATATATGATATATGTTATGAGATAATACATATGTGGTTACATGAGACATGATATGAGATATTATATGACTATGTGAGTATGTGAAAAAAAACTACAAGCATATGTGATAAGCTATATGATATGGGAAGGTGAATCATATGAAAATGTTCTACATGTAAGTGAGCTACATGTCTATATAAATATGTGAAATAACATAAGTGATAAAGCACATGTTATATGATATGAGCTATAGGTATAGTTAGCATGCCAAGAGTCGAGGGTTACATAGGTCCTTCGGGACATATACACAGGTCCTGTAGGACATATATATGAGGTCCTTCGGGACAAATTTCATATGCCACTAAGTGGGAATTATACGAGTTGTGTTGACAACATAAGTGCATAACCTCTATGTACTCACATATCTTTAGTTCTCAGAAATATACATGAGCTAATAAATAGATAAATACAAATATAATATATGTGATGTATATGTTTTGTTATATGAAATGTGTTATATGACATATGTGTATGGATGTATGTATGTATTTAAACAATGATCATGATAATGATGTTAATAATGATAAGAATAACAATAAGGATAATGAGGTTATATATATACGTGTACGTGTATGTGTACGTGTACGTGTATGTATATGTATGGGTGTTCATTCGGTTAAAACGGTGGCCGACCGAACCGAATTAACCATAACCGAATTAACCAAACTTTTTTTTTCTTTAACCGTTAACCGAACCGAATTTTTTTTCGAACATATTAACCGAACCGAATAAATTTCGGTTAATTCGGTTAATTTCGAAATAACCGAATTTCTTTTAAAATTTTCTAATTTATATAAAAATTAAATATTTTTTAATTCAAAAAAAGTTTATAATTAATTTAAATAATATATAATTATAAAATAAAAATTGTAGATAAATTTTTTAATTAATTAATATTGATTTAAGTTTAAAAGTTATTGGATCTTAAATTATTAATTGGGTTTTAAATGGTTTGGGCTTAGCCATATGTTATATATATTATTAATATTTTTTAATTAAAAACAGTTTACAAATAATTTAAATAATATATAATTATAAAATAAAAAATTTATATAATTTTTTAATTAATTAATATTGATTTAAGTTTAAAAGTTATTGGATCTTAAATTATTAATGGGTTTTAAATGATTTGGGTTGAGCCCTATGTTATATTAATATTTAATATTTAAAATTTAATTTCGGTTAATTCAGTTAATTCGGTTAATTAACGAATTCGAACCGAATTAACCGTTAACCGAATTCTAAAATTTACTTAACCGTTAACCGACCGAACTAATTCGGTAACCGAACCGAATTAATCGACTAATTCGGTTCGGCCGGTTAACCGAATTAGTTCGGTTATTTGAACACCCCTATGTGTGTGTATGTGTATGTGTATGTGTATGTGTATGTGTATGTGTATGTGTATGTGTATGTGTATGTGTATGTGTATGTGTATGTGTATGTGTATGTGTTGTGTATGTGTATGTGTATGTGTAGTGTATGTGTATGTGTATGTGTATGTGTATGTGTATGTGTATGTGTATGTGTAGTGTATGTGTATGGTATGTATGTGTATGTGTATGTGTATGTATGTGTAGTGTATGTGTATGTGTATGTGTATGTGTATGTGTATGTGTATGTGTATGTGTATGTGTATGGTATGTGTATGTGTATGGTATGTGTATGTGTATGTATGTGTATGTGTATGTGTATGTGTATGTGTATGTGTATGTGTATGTGTATGTGTATGTGTTGTGTTGGTATGTGTATGTGTATGTGTATGTGTATGTGTATGTGTATGTGTATGTTATGTGTATGTAGTGTATGTGTATGTATGTGTATGTGTATGTGTATGTGTATGTGTATGTGTATGTGTATGTGTATGTGTATGTGTATGTGTATGTGTATGTGTAGTGTATGTGTATGTGTATGTGTATGTGTATGTGTATGTGTATGGTATGTGTATGTGTATGTTATGTGTATGTGTATGTGTATGTGTTGTGTATGTGTATGTGTATGTGTATGTGTATGTGTATGTGTATGTGTTGTTATGTGTATGTGTATGTGTATGTGTGTGTATGTGTATGTGTATGTGTATGTGTATGTGTATGTTTGTGTATGTGTTGTGTATGTGTATGTATGTGTATGTGTATGT